CATCAATACGCGTGTAAGGTTATCGTAGACAGTCTCTAATACAAGCGTCTAAGCATGAAACAGACTGCTGCCTCTGGGTGTTGAATTCAATGCCCACTTCTATATTTACATAAGGTCTATCCCTGATATTGAGCATTAACCTATAAATATAACATACCTTAAAAATTTATTTTGTCACATCACACACACACACACAAACATATATATATAATATATGTATATATGAAGAAAGGGGATGGATGTTTATCTATTAATCCGAAAGATTTTTATTACTTCAACATTAATTTTAGTGGATACTCGTATCTGAGTAGACGCCCCGTTTATTTATTAAAAAAGTATATAAAAATAATTTCGAGACATTATGTCTGCTTATTTTTAATAAAATCCGTTCATACTCAGGGATAATCTTTCTTGTATTGCAATTAAATGATATGAGAAATGTGCTACAACTGAGTAATTTTAATGTATATTACTTCGAGAATCTGTAGTTTGAATTTGTTGTTTTCTAGGCGTAGGATAGCAATATACATAAAAAAAATTAAGGCCGCCACTTAATAGAATCAAGTGAGAATACTGTAGTAATGTTCTGAAATTTCTATAAAAAGAACAGTTTTTCACACTTTAATTCGTACGTGACCATGACATTAGAACTCAGAAAAAAAATCCGTAATGGATAATTTTTTCCCGTTCTAATGAATGCTAAGCATAACTTTCAACCGTTGCATTTGAAAGCAAAAAGAAAACTTACAGTAATGGATATCAAAAAACAGTTTTGTATTACTACTTGCACCCTTGAAGATAACGACTGAAGAATATCGAAAGTACTTGGGAAATGGAAAATAATAACGATTTTAATAGTTATAGCACATTTCTCACATCATTTAATTGCAACACACGGAAGGTTATTCGTGAGAACGAACGGATTTTATTAAAAAGAAGCAGACATAATATCTTTAATCTATTCAATCAGACATGTCTAAAAGAGAATTTGCTGCCTAAATACACAAAAAAATAAATGAATATACTGTTTAATAAATAAACAGAGCGTCTACTCAAATACGAGTATCCACTAAAAATAACCTTAAAGTAATATATATATATATATATATAAATATATATATATATATATATATATATATATATATATATATATATATATATATATATATATATATATATATATGGGCAAATAGTGAACGCTCAAACATAAATCAACTGTACATTTTTATAAAATGACAAACAATACATTTTTATAGCAACATTTACATCAATACAACACTATAAATATATAAAAATACATTTTTATATTAAAATTACCAACAATACATTTTAAGATCTACAAAATATATGTCGAAAAACATTTACTCTGACAGTATAAAATTATGTAGAAAATATCTAGTTGAAAGCATAAAATTGCCTACAAAATAATTAGATTTTAGCATTAAATGACCCTTAATGATGTTGATATGTCGCTAAACAAAATCAGACAAACTGATCCATGGATTGAACTCCTAACTAGGTAACAATAACTCATCTATCGTCATTTTTATATCCATAATGCCACTGAAGGACATCAGCGGTGTGTTATTATTTTTTTTTTTTAGTCTTTATATCTAATGTCAAATAGTTTCGACTTTTGGTTATCAACGTATAAAATAAAGTATACTGACAATTACCAATTCTCAAAAATGACATTCAAAATTATCTAAATTATGAAAAAAGAAGTTCACACACGGGCGAAACGCTGTGTCTATTATAATCTATATAATCTATATCTATATATATTATATAATCTATATAAATACCTACAGCATTCAATGACCGAACAGCTCGTACCAACCTCGATTAAAATTTATAAAATCTTTCTCTTAAATTAATTTTTCATAAAAATTGGTTTATTAAGTCTAACTGTTATTGCTCTTTTCAGTATTGACCAAGGCTTTCCTTCTTAATTTTTTTTTTTTTTTTTTGAAGTAGTTTGGAATGTTTAAGATCGTGATCAAGTCTTCGACATACGTGTGCTATCCATTTTAGTCGTTGCTGCTGATGAAATTCCTCAACTGATGTGGTTTCTGTTATATGGCACAGTTCTTTTTTTCTTTCTTTTGTGATTCTGTAGCTCCATTCCACTTGCTTCGGAGAAGTATGGCCCTCGCTAAGATCAATACGCTCGAAGTGATTTTTAACCGTTGAGCTGAGAAAACTGTTGTACACAGTTTAGATATTTCTGAACAAGTGTGGCACCAGGCATGACCTGCGTATGGAAATCTCGATCTGACGAGAGTATTTAAGAACATGACACGAGATTTGAGGTTAATGTTTTGGTTCTGGAGCAACTTAAAGCCTTGGAAAAATTACCCCGAGCGAAGCGTACTCTTTCTCAACTTGTCTTCACTAATAATTTTTTTTTTCAATAATTAATCCATACACCGAGGTATTTGAAGTATCTCATATTTATTAATTCGACATCCTGAATTTTTATGACTGATTCAGGGTTATTTTGGATCAATGCTTTCATTTCAGTTCCAGATCATTTTTTTCGGAAAGGTTTATCTTGAGTCTTATTTCATGGAACACTTGGTAGATAATGTTTTTGTTTGTTCAAGATCATTCTTCTCTCAACTATGAATACCTGTCATCAGTATGCACATTCAATGTATACTTACTCATCTAAAAATGTTAAAAATTAACTAAAGAGCTCAGGATATAAAACCTAAGTCTTGTGGCACGGCTATAGAGCACCCAGTGTGGATCGAAACCATTACAGTGGTTACGGGCTTAAAACCAGCTTGTTAAGCACTGTAATACAGTGAGATAATTCTTCAGCATATGTAGAAATAAATATTAATGCTTACCTGCGGACACTCAGGAAGTTTCGACCGTTAATTATCCAGTCTTTTTCAGGGTTTTGTTCTCTCTACTTTTACCTATCATTCTCTTTCTCCTTCCTCCCCCCGACTCTCTCTCTCTCTCTGTAATCATTTTATCTAATTAACAAACGTATATCCATTTTGGCTAGTTCTTACTCTCTGGAGTCAATAATAAGGTAATGCTGAGTACTTTTGCTACTAATATAAGAAACATTACTACAAAAACAAAAAGACGAAAAAAAAAAACAAAAAAAAACGTTACTACATGAATGAAATCTTCGGCGAAGAAAATTAATGGATGCGTAGAAAAATTCAGAAAATTTTCTTTGATTGTATCTCAAACTTGTTTCTCTTGTAGGCATGATGCTTTATTGAAAGGAATTGGGCAGTTTTGTTCTTTCCTCAACGGAATCAATCCTGCGTTCACCGTTTTGCCGTAAACAGTTTTGTTTTCGAATGTATGCATACATTTCTAGAGTTTGTTAGAAAAGGAAACAAAAATAGGTTAGACAAATGTGTAATTCTTCCCAGAGCTTCATCAACCGACCGATGTAAAAAAAAGATGGATACTTATTGTCTTTTATTCTTTTTCTTTTTTTAGTAGCAGTTGTGTTTCGAGTAGTGGTCGAGGCGTCTATTCTAACATACCAAACGTGCTGCTTCTGACATACACTCTTTTGTGTTTCCTTTCTTTCTTTTTTCTCTCTCTCAATCTCCACCCTCACTCTTCATATAGGTATCGTTCTGTGGTTTAACTTGTGGTAGAGCTAATTTCTCACTGCTGTTTGTTATTGGGACACAGATTAAAAATTAAAAAAAAATGATCACATTTCGAATGCTGGTTTTCAAGAGAGACCAGCTTCAGATTGATTTTTCCTCAACACAATCTGCTAACCAGTTCTAATTTTATGGCATCTCCAATTTCAATAGCGATAAACTCCATTAAATTCTTACATTTATCATACTAGCATCACACACTCTCAGAAGTTGTCACATATGGAAACATAGCGTATGCCGTGAACATATCGATGATTATATCACAAACAACCAAGATACGGCTATTAACATATGACATATTGATATGTAATATCCAAATATTATATAGCACTCACTGGCAAGGAAAAGACTCAAAATAATTGAAACTATTAATATAGAAAATAAACAACATACGGTAAAAATATTTCAGGTCCGTAGATGGTATTTTAAAATGGGCATAACATGCTATATATATAAAACCAAGTATAAGATTGGTGTATACGGAATAAATTCCAATATTCAACAAATATTATACTTAAAAGAGTGCCCAATACAGATTAGAGCAAATATAATTATTTATTCGAAAATTATAACATAAAAATGTTATAAAATCACTCTGGTGTCTTACATTTTGTTTGAAATCTCTGGTGTCTTATTTTGTAGTGATTTGAAACATTTTTTATGTTATAATTTTGAATAAATAATGATTATATATATATATATATATATATATATATATATATATATATATATATATATGTGGTAGTGTGGAACTTGTGTAGCGGCTCGAATCTGTGTCGAAATGTAGGGAAGAGTATTTGCTCTATCTTGACAATTTAGACATAGAGCACTATATATTGCTATATATAGAGATTATGTCGTGTACATTATTTGGTTTATGTGGGTATATAATTGCATATATTCATAACTTGACATTTTTGTTTGCTCTTATTTTAACTTTATATTCTTCTTCTTCTTCTTCTTCTTCTTATTATTATTATTGTTATGTTTATTTTTTTAATTTTATTTCTTTATTCACTTAAGATTTTTATTGACTTAAAATTATATTTTTTATTATAATTTATATAAAAAAGTTATTTTTAAAAAAATATATAATTTGAAAAATTCATTATATTATTTTCCGAAATTATACTTAATCTATTGTTTTATTCTCTTTTTACCTCTCTTCTCTTTTCCCAATTCTCTTTCACGTTTTGAATAAATATCGCTCTTCTACACACTTCCATTTTATCCCCCACCTTTTTACTTTCCCACAATTTTGAATCTACATAATTAAGCATAATTTATGCTCAATGTGTTGTGCCTGGTAAAATTTTAAATTCATTTTTTTGTGAAAATGTTTGGCCTGATGAGTTAAAACCGAAGTATATCTATCTATCTATCTATCTATCTATCTATCTATCTATCTATCTATCTCTCTCTCTCTCTCTCTCTCTCTATCTATCTATCTATCTATATTAGAGTTTAGTTAAGTGTCTGTCTTTTGTCTTTTTCTTCTTTGTCTACGTTTCTTTTTCCCTTTATTTCTCTCGGTTTTTCTCTTGTTTTTTTTTTTTTTTAAATTAGCCATTGTTTTTTATTAGTTTTTTCTTTGGTCATCTGGCAGACTTAGTGTTGGTTTTACCAATACTTTGGCTTTGTATATATATATATATATATATATATATATATATATATATATATATGAAATAGATTTTAATATATTTTCTGATTATACGTTATTTTTATAGATACAAATTTTTTGAGTAAATGATTTGTTTTTAATTCAATATTCGAGAATATTTCACAGAAAATATGCGTACCCCAACAGGAATCGAACTTATATCCATGTGGAGACCGTCATTTAGCATAATGTGCTGTTAACCGATTCGGGCGAAAAAGGACTTCCGTTTAACAAACAAAAATAGCGTATAACCAGAGAATATATATATATATATATATATATATATATATATATATATAGATAGATAGATAGATAGATAGATAGATAGATAGATCATTTTTCTCTTTTATTAAAGCTTCATCAGAGAATGGGTCATGGAGTAAAGGAAGAAAGAAATTGTATTATTTTTACTTTTGTGTTTGATTTTCTATACAAAAAAACCCAGAACCCTTGATGTCTGTCGTGTTTTTACATAAAAAAATTGAAAAATCGTACAGTACATAACCTTAGCGTTTTTCACTTCACAAGTAAAAAATTAATTTTCAGATGAACACAATTTTGTCTTAGAAAAATGATGATCACAACAATTTTTATCTTAGAAAAACAAGACATTGATGATGACATTGTGCTAATGTCAAAAGTACTCGGAATAAAATGAATAAGCATAGACATGGTAATTTCTTTCTTCCTTTAATAAGGACACTAAGTAACGTGCCCGTAATTACGAGAAGATCCTATTAAAAATAAGTAGAAAAAACTGTCTAAATTATTTAATGAAACTTGACTTTATATATATATATATATATATATATATATATATATAAGTGAACATTGAAGTCAACACTCAGAGGCGACAGGCTTTTTCATGCTAGACGCAATCGCCAGGCTGTATGATGAGCCTGCCAGTCGTTATCAACGTATGAGGGTCCAACAACATATTTTGCCTTTGTTGCCCTACTTGTAATTGTTCGTTCAATGAGTTCTAATGCCACCTTTAAACACACACAACATTCCAAGTACAGGACGAAGAACAGTACGTCTTGTAAAGGCAGCAGCAATGTGAGAGCGGTGTTTAGTTATCTATCGTGTAATACGTAAATTTTCAAGGTGTGACCTGTCCACAGGTGTAATGGCTTCAATATGTGAGCTGTCAACATTTTGTAACGTTCATTCTCTTCCATTTGGCAACGATCAGAAGCCACTCAAAGACTTTGTTTCAATGTATCCTTGTACCTGAACAGAGGATTTCCTGCAGTTGGCTGTACATGGGGGATTTTTGGTTTCCTTTCATCGCTCATGCGCACAACATGACCAGTCCAGCGACATTGCGATTGCACCAAAATATTTATATGCTTCCAGTTTAGCACGTATATGTAGGGTACCCAGTAAAAAACGGTAAATTCAAAAAGTCGTGAGACAACCGTTGAAAACTGGTGTTCAATATATATATATATATATATATATATATATATATATATATATTGAACAATAAAAATATTACAAAATTAAAATCTTCAGACACACTGGGTTGTATATTAATATTCTGTCGTTTTTATTATTATTTCATTTAGATTCCTCGAATAGTTTCGGCCAAAATGGCCATCATCAGGAGAAAAAAAATTCTGCTTGCTGGTAGCAGTAAACTACAAAAAAGAATGTCTTGATGGAGAAAATGAACTTTTGTCTGTAGTTTTCATTTGTTTTTTTATTTTTTTTAACATGAATTTTGTTCAGACGTTGTGTTGGTCAAACAGTCTCTTTTAAGTTGTTATCTGAGATAAGAGCTGGATGGATTCATGTTTCTCTGAATTCGCTTGGTCATTTTGACAGTTTTATTGGTTCTCGGAAAGGGGATGTGTCTCTGTTAAGTGTGTGTCTGTTTTTTCGTTCTTATGGAGTGAGTGAGTATGATGTGTGTAAGCGTGTACATTACTATGGGTGTGTTTTATCATTTGGCTCATTAGGGAGTGAGTGAGTATGATGTGTGTACGTTTGTATATTCGTGTGGATGTGTGTATATGTGTGAAGTCTCAAGACCTCCGTAAGCATGTTTGTCTTGTGTGGGTGAGAAATGTGGGTAGGTCCAGATTTGTGAGTTTATATATTAATACTATCTATATTGTTAAATTTGTTGTTAAGCCCGGCTGGATATATATATATATATATATATATATATATATATATATATAT